TCGGGGTATTTATTACTAGTATTACTATATTTACAACCTTAAAACCAGAAATAAGTTTTCGTGATTAATTTGAATAGAAAATAGCCATGAAAAACAACTCCTTTCCCTCTCATGAGATTGTATTTAAAATTATCAAATTTAACAAATTCTTCTATGGTAAATTTATTCATATTCCCTGTTTCCTTTAAAGTTAAAATATCATTTCCATAATTCTTGAAAAACTAAAACACTGCATGCATTTCACAATTATTTAAATAATCTCTTTATCAAACTTAAGGTAATTTTTTTTTTATACATACATCCTTATTACGAATTATTTATCTGTAAGAATATAACTACGGCAGCAAACTCATCTAACAAATTTGTTTAAAAATGATTCATAATCTACAATAACTATCAACTAATATGTAATTTTATTTTGAATTATCGTTACTTTAATTCTTTACTTATTATACTGAGAAATGGAGAAAATTGTGTCTGTGCATAAAAAATTTCCATTAAAAGGGCTTATAAAAGAGTACATATTGTCCTTAGAACAATTTTGTTATAAATAAAAATGTTCTCAATTTATTTACTTGGAATGAAAAATCTTTAAACGATTTATTAAAATTTGTTTAGAATTCGTTCCTTATAATCAATTTAAAAAACACTAATTTACATATGATTTAATCAAAATTTTTCAAAAATTTATAAAAAAAGAAACATTAAGAAAATTTTACATTTGACAAATTCTTTTAAATACATTGAAACATTTGTTCCGATATATATTGTGATGAACTTCAAATGATTCTTAAAGTACTTTTAAATTTCATTCTAATTACACTTTTAACTCCTAAGAACACATCAAAGTTTCTAACGTGCCATTTGAAAATGAATGGAAATATTCGGTCCATCAACAAAAGAATTTTCTCCCCCAGTAGCCTTTTTTGAAGGGCTACAAGTGGCTCTACAGAAAGTGAGTGGGCAGGAAGAGACTAACGGGGAAGTGGTTGGCAACGCAAACTGCATAAACACAGGAAGCCACCACTAGAATCGGCAGGGGTCCTCCATTTGGAAAATGTCTACGAGGGTGGTCTGCCGCCGTCGGATATAGAAAAGTGCGAGAAAATTGACAAGCCGTGCCCAACCCAAAGTTTGGTCATGTTTGTAAGAGCTCAAGAACCTTTTGTTCTGGAGCGAAGTTAGAAAAAATACTTGTTAATGAAAGATTCGGATGGGTTGTAATCTATTTATATATATATTCTCTGAGTTTTCCACGTGTAAGTCATGTAAGTCACGTAAGTCATGTAATAATAATAAGAAGAAAATAATTTCGTAACAAACTAACGAAATAGGATTTAAAATTTACGGCATCTAGTATCAGATTTAAGGCCTTATAAAAATCTAAAATAAAAAGCTAGAAAAAATTCGGATGCTTCGTATAAACGTGGAAAGATGTCATTGTATTCCTCTTTGGTATAACTATCTTTATAAATGAGTTCAAATTAAATGCGTGTGACACTATACAAGTATATTTAACATTGAAATGCTAAGAGAGAGAGAGAGAGTTACAGATAGAATGAAGATAGTTCACAATTAAATGCGCATGGCACTATACAAGTATATTTAACACTGAAATGCAAAGAGAAAGAGTTACAGAGATAGAATGAAGATAATTAAATGCACGTAACACTGTACAAGTATATTTAACACTGAAGTGCAAAAAAATCATATCTAAATTCTCATATCCCTTTTCCAATTAATGGTAAGTGATTCATCATTGCACTTTCAACTTATTTTATAGCTTAGTTTAATCATTTGTTTTTATGAGGGAATGTAACCAATAAATATAATTTTTATTAACATGTTTAAAGGTTTACTTTAATAAAATATATATTACGTTGAAAATTAAAATAGCGATATTTTATGAATAAATCCATCCAAATGGAATTTTCTATTCTTTTGTGCTTTTGAAATGATACGTATTGTATTATTTAACAATTTTCAGCTAATAATATTTATATTACTTACCTTTTGAAAAAAGGTTTCTCTTTGAATATTTGTTTTCGAAGCCATTATATTTTGCCATAAAATAAAAACGACATATCTTTCCTTTTACACAATTCGTACTTATTAAAATTTTTTTGAAAGGGTAGCCGATTCCTTGATTATTATTATTCGCAAAGCAACACGAGTGCTATTGGCGGCGCACCGCAGAATTTTGACTCACGATCAAGTAATGAAAAAGACACACACATTTGAGCTGAAATCCTACTCTAAATTTCCACACTACACCAAAATGGTAACTTTCCCCATGATAGATATATAGCATGTATTAGCATTGCTAAATGGTGGGCCTTTTACAACAATCAGAACTCGAGCCCACTAACTCGACTGTAACAACGCTGGCCGTGAGAATCGTGGCCATTCATCAACCATGGTAGTATGAATTTGGAATGTATGAGAGTCAGAGGTTAAAAATTAACTTATTTCGGGAACTATTATCGTAAAATATTAAAGATATGGTTCTTTAGCGCTTATATAATAATTTTACCCATAAATAATCATTAATGAAACAAGGAATTAGTGACAAAACTGCAGAAGGTAACAAGTTTCAAAAAAGAAGAATCAAAATCTATCTTTAATCGAAACGTAGGGTTATTCTTAGAACTAAGTGCTTGACTATGATATTTAATGTCGAGAAAAACTTTATATTTTTTTAAAATGCTTAAGAAATAAAGGCGATGTACACTCTTTTTCATTCCTGAATAACCTTTTCATTCTAAACTAGCTTTGAATATTGCATACGTAATACTACTGAGAATTACCCCTTGACTTTGACTATTTTAGCTTCGGTATATATGTCGAAGCGTTATCTTAGTAGTCATAATCAAGGATTCTTGGCCGACGTGTCATGAGACACTAAACACCCACCGTATATAGGGGCTGATGCACGTTAAATATTTCGTAGCTCAAAGTCCTTCCGTTGGCTCTGTGTGGTAGCTTAGGAGGGGGCCTGCCTCAGCTCAGGTGTCGTCCTCATCACTTGACTGATGTTCAAAATTACAAGGTCAGTCGCCGACAGCCCTCTATTGCTTTACAGTGCGATGCTAATGAACCATCACTAAAAACTGATACTCCTTATGGAAGATATGTTTTACATTGCATTCTTATAGCACAAAGGATGTTTAGAGAATTCCTAGTGGAACATTATATACTTAAGAAAGCAAACACAAAATAACGTATTCCTAGTGTACACATGAAACATACTATGTGCATCATGCTAAATTTTTACTTCAAAGAAAATGTTTTAAATACTAGAAATCATCACGGTTACATTTGAACGCGCAGTGCACTGTGAGCCAATAATTTTTTTTAAGTCTATTTAGTAAAACATGATCTAAGTATGATAAGGTTTACATACAAAAATCACATTCTGTCGATTAATTCATTTTTTCGTCATTTATCAATATTTTCATAAGGGATGAATGGATGGTAGAAGAAATCATCCACATATTTGAAATGTTGCATAATGCAACATATGTTCAACATATGTGGTTATGTTCGATTTCCTAGACACTAGTGGAGGACGCAAGTGTGGGGTTTAAGGGATCAAACCCTTCCTATAGATAAATATATTTTTAATTTTTAGCGTGAAGATTACGTCTGGATGCTTTCGACTACATTTTTAAAAATTGTAAACTCTTCCGTGAATGTAATCTGTGTGCGCCACAAAACGGATACATATTTTGTTCATTTATTGATGCGCATTTACCAATATACGAGAAAATTTCACTGCGAGAAAAAACATGAAATCAAAGCATAGATTTAAAAACACATGACGATCTTTCATCATACATACACATTTGCAAACATTTGAGTATTTTCATCTTTTTAATAACATGCTACGAAAAAAATATTCTATTTTGAGTAAATATAGGTTTTTCAGGCAGGGGTTTTAAGTGTATCAATCATTATCTTAAAAAACGTAACAAAGAACCTTAAATAACTATATGTATACCTATTCTTTCCAACTCTTTCTTTTTCCTCTCATCAATTTATTTTTCAAAAAAATAAAAGTTTACTTGTGATTCGATATATAATCCATAAAAAAGGATTCTTTTTTATTCAAACAGTTACTGATTCTATGAGATCTCTTTTCGTATAGACACTGACACATAAAAAAATAATATTATGATATGAAATTAAAATTTGGATAATTACTGTATATCACTGTGTGTGTGTGTGTGTGTGAGTCGGTCCTTCTCTCTATATATACTCTGTATATTATATTTTACTTCTAGAAAATAAATTGAATCTTGGATTAGTTTCAGATGTCGATATGATAATCAATTATAAAATAGTTGTTGGTTGAGGAAAAAAATCTTTAAAATAAATATGTTTATTCAATTTATCTATAAACATTCAAACATTTTTCCTCATAATGAATTTACAATTTTTTTTAAGAAAGGTATAAACAAATATAATGAAAAAGGAATTGGATAAAATCAACCGTTTAGACAAAATTTCTAGCTTAATAGAGAAAACAATGAATTATGTACAAAAATCTCTTCAGAATTGTTGCAGAATTAAATAAAATACTTAAAATGTCAAATGTTTAATAGGAAGTGCATACTAATACTGAAGGAATCAAATAAATTTCTCGATTTTTAAAATGAGGTACACCCAATTCTACATATTTTTTCCGCATGCAACGTTTCGTACGTTTTTGAAGAATCCTAGTCAGTGTGAAACAGCGTCTTTCTTTTCTTTTTCAATACCTATTAGCTCACACTCTCCCTATGTATATATAACAATATATATATTGAATTGTTAATAAAATACTTTTTATTCCACCAGTCAAGTTCAAATACAATTTTTTTAAACTTGCAGTGTATGACCCTTGATGTTAATACAGTTTTTTCAAATATTAATTAATTAAATGGTACAAAAAATAAATAAAAAGAAACAAGCAAAAATAATAGTCCAATCCATATATAAAAAGGAAACTCGCTCGTTGTGTTCCTGTAGCGCAATGGATAGCGCGTTGGACTTCTAATCCAAAGGCCGAGGGTTCAAATCCCCCTTGGGATGGCCTATTTTCTGAGAATGTGATTTCTTCTTACAATACTATTTGATTGGAATAATTAAATTTAATTAATGAACAAATAAATAAAAATAATAGTCTAACACCTATATAAAAGATAATTGCAAAGAAATTCGCTTTCTATTTAGCCACTTAATATTGTGATTCTGTCATATGTATATACATATTTATATTAATTGTAATTATTTAATAAAAAGTAACTAAAATAAAAAAAAATTTCTTTGTTGATCTAAGTAGGAAATGACTTAAATTTTTTTAAAAAAATTTACTTGTTCTTTTTAAACTGCTGATTTACTTGTACTAGATTAAAAATATCCGATTGCTACGATCACACTAGTCCCTTTTACCAAACCATTCTCTATATTTAATCTTCCTTATGCTAAATAAGCATTCAAACACATTTTGGGTGCAACTGAAAAGTACAAAATCATGATCATGGATGCATATAAAAATATTGTTTTGAATTGCTTTATAAATACTTCTTTGGTCATGCAGCAGTTCTAGAAAGCAGTCAGAAAGTGTTTTTAATAAAAGCTAGATACAACGGATACTAAAAGAATCTTCTAAAATTTAGCTTTGGAACAAGAAATTCATTGTAAAGGTTTTTAGGATGTACAAACAGTAGACATCGACGAATTGGGATGATTGACCTCTTTAATGCGAATGATTTTAATGGAATAACATAGGACCCACGACTATGTCAACGATAATGAGAACGAAATTCATCCATTAATTGGTAGTTAAATTTCGGAAGGTTTTAAACTTAAAACGCATCTTAAAATCTAACAGGTTCTAAAGATTTGATGAGTGAAGTACCAAGAAATATAAATAAATAAAGTTAATATCGAAATAAAATTCAGCTACTTAAAACGTCAATCACCTACGAAATCAAGCTTAGCTGATGTGATTGACAGGACGGGGAATGGCGATTTTTATTCATCATACCGTAAATAAATGATTATATAATGATCAACTGGCTGTGAATAGCTATTATTTCTAGAATTTTTAAGTTGTTACACAGTTGAGTTTTCCTTACTTTTTATGTGTAGTTTTTCGAATATTATTTAATGTTCTTTATTTCATTTTACACAACATTTTGGATAAAGTGAAAAAAAGCCTTTTTATTACACAAATACCTCTTTTTTATAGAAGTTTTTTATGGAATATATTTATTATTTTAAAAAGAGTTGGGTATATTGGAAAAAAATTATAGTAATTTAAATAAAATGATGCTGTTGTTGAATTATTATTTTTAAATGTTGAGAATTCCCTAAATTGCCATGAAGTTTATTTTCAAAAGAACATAAAAATGTTACTTTTATTTTATCCAAACACCATTTGTATTTTTAAATAACATTAAACAAACTTCTACTATTGATTCCATTGATAAATTGTTTTAAATATAAAAATGATTAAATGAAGTACACCGTTAAATTTTCAACTAAAAAGAGCATCTGGTTAACTTTTTATTGAAAACGAATTTAAACTAGTTCCTTCACTATACACTTCAAATTGTAGAATAACAATGAACAGAAACTTTCCCGCGTTCTCTAATACCAACAATAATGGTGCCCAAAACTAACAACCTTTATTGATATCTCAATTTTAAATGACATCCAATTAAACAATTACTACAATTGATGGCATTTATTATACGAGCACCGATTATATCTATAATAAGCAACAGAAAATATCAATCTAAGGATTCATTAGTAAAAATTCCATTTAATTTTCCCGATCTAGTATTTAACCTTGCAATCACAGTCCGGATGAATTTAATTGTCCCCTTTGCCCAGCGAAAGACACGAACAATCATTTTATAGCGGCACACCTACCCTATTAAAGCCAGACCAATACATCTCCGCAAACTCGATCAAATCGCGCGATTATATAATTAGCGATACACGACAAAATAAACACGCCAGTTTAATGAACGAGTACAAAGCATTCACCAGACCCTAAGAGTTGGTCTACACACTCTTTTCCACCCTTCCGAATACCCCTCTAAATAGACCCATCGCTTTTGCAAAAGATGCGTTCAATGAAAATCCGTAGATAAAAGATGACAGAACGGATGACAGCGTTTTAGTAGCGACGAGTGAACTGAAGAGGCTTAATTCCTCGTTAATCAACTCCCCTCGTGGCGCACTCCGGAATTATTTGCATTCCTGGCCCTTTGGCCATTAATTAGAATCGAAGTCACGTGAACTGACGAGCTATTTGGCGCTCTGGAATGGATCGTTTGGGGCTACGCACCCCCACGCCTAAAGGTGGCCAAGATAGACAGTAATTGCAAAGCACTCGCACACACTAAAAGGCTTCTACTGATTTTCATGGTCCGTTTATGGAGCAAGCTTTGTTGGGGTAAATAAGTAAAGTTGGGTTGAAGAGTTGAAGCAAATTGCTTTGTGTTGGAGCCGTTCTTGTATGGCCTTGTTTGGGAACACTTTTTAGTATTCGAAGTACAATCTAAAATGTAGTTAGGTACAATAAACCTTTCTCTTTTTCTTTATAAATGTAAAACATATTTAATGAAGTAAGCATATAAATAATTTGCAAGCTCTAATGCTATCAAAATTGAAAGCGTGCTGTTGATTTGGGAGAGACCACGGAAATTGGCGTAGATTTGGGGCAATTTACATGAATAAAAATTAACTGTATGGGATTAACATTTTTTTTAGTGTAAATGGAGATTTTTTTAAAAAATGTTTTTGCAAAACTGAGTGCCTAAAAAGCGAGCTCTTCTGCTTTTATTTAAAAAAACATTTTTAAAAAAGACTTTTTCAATGTAATAAAAATGCTGGCAGAATCTCAATGGCTAAGATTGGGAGTTAGCGATGATCAGGGACGTCTGAAGACTTGTTGAGGCACTGGGCCCCTACACAAATGTAGGCCCCACCTATGACCCTTAAAAGTAGATCCTTAACAGTACATAGCATACGTTGTCAAATGCTCGTACAAGCAATAACCCGAAACAAACAAATGAGCATGACTTAACAATTGCACAAATTGGCTGCCGCTCTTTGACTTAATGAGTAATGATGGTGTACAGTAGCGACACTCAGAAATTTTTCAAGGGGGAGGGTCCAGGGTCGAAAGTTCACTATACTTGCTCCAATACGCTGCCCAAAATATTCTTTTGATTTTGTCAAATTTCGAAAACAAAAAAAAGTAAAAAATTAATTACTGAATGGATAATTAGCATTAATTAATAAAATTAATGATTAAAACAAATACTTAATTAAATTTTACGTACTATATACATAGGACTATAATCAATCGAGGAAAAAATCAAGGGCTTTGGGGGTGTCCTGACTCGAGGACCCTATGGACGACGGTCATCACATAATAATACAGTCTTGCGACTGTTGCCAGTTGACATATAGTCCGAAATTCCCAGTTTTTCGGAGAATACAACTAGAAATAGCATGTGACCGTTAAAATTTGTTGAATAAAGATCTTATAAAAATTCAGTCGATAATGAGATGAGGCCCCCTTTGAGCAAAGCTCTAGACCCGGGCCCAGTTGGCCCATGCCTTAAGACGTCCCTGGCGATGGTGTGATGATCCATACTAAGATTCCACTAATGACTGTCTTATGGAATAAAGGTGAATGCTTTGGATTAAATTGAAATAAGCTTCAAAATCCACCTACGGTGTAGAGTTGAAGCTATGAGATCGATAGAAGTAACACGAGGGCTATTGAGGGGTCTCGTAATTTTTAACCTCGGTTAAATGATGAGAGTGACATTTGAGATTATACTCTCTCATCAAGTTTCTACACCACGCTAAGCTGAAATTACGAAATTCATGCAACAACTCAAATGTCGTACTCATTTAAGAGGGGAAACGAAAAAATCAAGGGAAAAGGTTTTTGCGGTTACTTATTATTATAAAGAGCAATAATTTGAAAGTTCTTTTAATATTATTTTAGTAAATAAAAAGTAACTGTGAATTTTTTTTCTTTTTTTTAAAATTATTTTAAAAACTAACATATTAAATGAAAGTAATGAATAAAGTATATGTTTTTTTAGATATAAAAGCCACTAAATATGTTTTAATGATTCTATGCATATATTTAGAAAGGGTTCCATTTTTTACAATTGTAAGGAATTTTTTAAATGAATTTCTGTACAATTACTTTAACTATTTCCTGCTTGGGGTACATATGTTGTACCACCAATTCTTATTCGTTTATTGTGTGGTGATACATAAAACGTACCTCTTGTTTGAATGCCTCAGAGCTTGATACTAGATGGTACATTCTCTGAACCACCACAGAGGTCAACTCCTAGCAGTTACTCAAGTTTCCAACAGATGTCAGAAGCAAATTGTATGCAATGGGTTTATGGCGTAGTTCATTCTTTGATCAGCTGTGAGTCTGTTGAGAGGTAATTTTTGGAAGTGACTGTGTTGTGTATTTTTAAGTGTAAATGAAAGTGATTTTATTGTAATATTTGATACAAATCAGGTAAGTACATATAATATGCAACTAAATAATTGAATATTGCAGTAATTGTACCTCACATGTGCACTGCTAGTATGAAAATATGTACTAAAAAATGTATAACCACGCTATTGAAGGCCATCTTCTTTACAAATAATAAATAAATCCCGCTTATTTTTTCGCAACAATGGACATGTTTATTGTGCCAGATAGATTTGTTGTAAGTTACATTTTTTAAAAAAAATATTTATTAAATAATAATACACACACACACACAAAATTATACAAATGTCCTGAATGAGCTATAGCTCATGTCGAGAAAAAATAAATTTAACTAATACATTTCTTAGATATGTGACTAAATAAATACTAGGTAACATAAATAATATATAGAAAAGAATATTTTATAAATTGAAGCTAACATTAGGTAAATTAGGACTAAACTAAAATTAACTTTTCAACAATAGATTAGGAAAAACAGAAAATGTTTTAATATATAGGATGAATAACAGTATAAGATGAAGAAGTGAATTTATTTATT